TTTATAATTATTTTTAACTCTGTAATTTCACAGTCTCATCCATTTTCATTTGATTTCTTAATCCTTGTTGCTATGTGGAATTTTTTTTATTTATTAAAGACATTAACCTGCTGTATGTAGTAAACAATTTCTGTTGCTTATTTAATTTTCTGTCGTCTGTCCTATAGAAATTTCCAGTGTTTATGTAGTATTTGTCAGATTTTATCTTCATAGCATTTATGATTTTTGTTATGCTTATCAAGGTTTCCCTATTCCAGGATTTTAGGGACATTCCTTTATATTTTTATTTTGGTACTTTTTTATTACCCTGTTTTTTTACATGGAGATCTGTTCATAATCTGGCTTTTTGTATGTGTGTGTAGTGTGAACCAGGAAACTATTCTATTTTTATTTCTGAGAGGAGAGCTAACTTTCTAACCTCTTTTACCTCATTCATCCTTCTCCCACTCATTTCTGATGCCAGCTTTATAGTCATAAACAAACTTCTAGTTGGATAAGTCTGTTTTTGAACTTCTCTGTTTGGTTAATCTTTTGATCTATTTATGAGACAATGCTACATCATAAATCACTGTGACCATCTGCTGGGATCAGGCAAGTCCTCCTCATTGTGTGTTTACTTAGTTTTCCAGAAGACCTTGAAAGTCAGCTGGTTGGGTCCCACCCGAATATTGTTAGGATATTTGTTGGGATTATGATGTTAAATTTAGAGATTAGTTTGAGAAGAATGGACATTATGTTATTGGGATTTTCAAAATAAGTCTAAAATTAAGTTAATCTATAGTAACACATACACGGTTCCTTCCCACTTCAGAAACTTCCATATCCTTTCCCTCAGGAATCCATAGTGTCTCAGACCAACAGAATACTTATTTTTTTTGTTTTTGATAGATTTTTTTAAAGGCTTTTTAAAAATGTTTGTTTATTTTTGAGAGAGAGAGTGTGAGAGAGAGCGTGCACGCACAAGTCGGGGAGGGGCAGAGAGAGAGAGATCCCAAGCTGGCTCCCCACTGTCAACACAGAGCTCAGTGTGGGGCTTAATCTCATAACCATGAGATCAAGAGTCGGATACTTAACCGACTGAGCCCCCCGGGCGCCCCTGTTATTATTTTTCATGGTTCTTTGTGTTGGCTAGGATCGGCTGAACAGTTTTTGCTTGGATTCTTGCATGGTTGCTACTAACTTTTGGCTGGAGCTGCCGTCATTTGAAAGCTTGACCACTTGACATCCAAAGTGGTTCCCTTCCACGGCCGGCAGCCAATGTTGGCTGTGGGCCAGGAGATCAGCTGGGATTGTTGACTGACAAGTTACCTCTCCATGTGGGCTCCATCTGCTGACACATGATGACTGGGCTCCGCGCGTGCTAAGAACAAGCATTTCAAGAATGAAATGGGGGACGCTGCAAGACTTCTCATGACTGGGCCTCGATGTTTCCGGAAGTCATTTCCATTATATTCCTTGGGGTAAACCAAGTTAGTAAGTCCTACCCAGATTCTAGGGAAGAGAATTATATTCCAGCTTGTACTGTTCAGAGCTGCATGTGTTGAAGGGTGTTTACTGGGGGCAGCGATCCGTACTCTGGTCTGCACAGTTTACAACACATCCTGCATAAAAAGTATTCTCACTTCCTCTCAGGACCCCCAGGGCATCACCTCCTTATGGCCCTCAAGCTTGACACCCCCATCTTGTCATCTGAGCCAGGTTTGCTGTGGATGAGGCTTCTTCAGTGTGGTTCCTCAAGTACAGCTCTTGTGCGTGTGAGGACCAGTGCACTAACGGGGCCAGTCTGTGCACCCCTCCACCCAGCACCCAGCACACGATGGCGAACAGTGGTAGGACACTTGTAGTAGATCCTTCTGTTAAAAAAAGGAGAGGCACGCAAGTCGCTTAGCAGTCTCTGGTCCATAGTAACCGTGGGATCCAGATGGACACCTGTCACCTCTTCCTTGAGTGGTACCCCCATCTAGTCCCTGTGAGTTGGTCTCTGTGGCTCTTTATCCACACCCTGAGCTGCCCTTCCTTTTTATACAAGAAGTAGCCAGCTGTTGCAGTTGAATAGCTTTCTCAGCCCACTACCTACCAGTAAATAACTGGGGACATAAAGATCTCTTCATTTTGAACCGTTTCTCCCTTTGAGTCCAGTCTCGTACAACTGTCTTAAAAACTGATGTGGGCTTCCTGGGTGTCCAGTTATAAATCTCCTGCATTAGCGGTGCCTGGGTGGCTCAGTCAGTTAAGCGTCTGACTTTGGCTCAGGTCATGATCTCACGGTCTGTGGGTTCGAGCCCGGCGTCAGGCTCTGTGCCAATAGTTCAGAGCCTGGAGCCTGTTTCAGATTCTGTGTCTCCCTCTCTCTGACCCTCCCCTGCTCGCACTGTCTCTGTCTCTCTCAAAAATAAATAAAACATTAAAATCAATCAATCAATCTCCTGCATTAGACAGAAGCCACACCCACAGAGCCCTTTCAGACAGTCTCCTCTCTCTTTGGTCTGAAATGCTGTGGGACAGCCCCCTTCAGGTTCTTCAAAACGTTCTTGCCCAGCGGAGGGTCTAAGAGGCATAACCTTGAGATTTGTGGAAACTTGTTTTTTTTTCTGAGAGGTTCTCTAAAGATGTGCCCTTACGTCTCCCTGAGGCGTCGTAAAAGAGTATTCTTGACTCGTCATCACTGTGATTGCTTGAGGAATATTTTGTGACTGGAGAGACCGTCCTGAGCCCTTTCTGTTCTGTTTTTTCTTAAATTTTGCTAAAAACTTGAACACTTGTCGTTGTTATTGCTCTGTACCCGTACTTTGTCGTCTGCCCCGGAAAGGGAGCAGTCAGCACTCCTGGAAGGTGTGTTTTGTATCTTCCACGTCAGAGTGAGCCGCGGCGCTGCGCGGCTTCTGCGGCTCCCGTGACCGCTCCCCCCGCCCTCCGTCCTCACCTGCAGCCTCCCAAGGCCTTTGCTGCTTGCCCTGCCGCCCGCCCCGAAGCCAGTGCTGTGTGCTCCAGGTTTCATTACGGGGGCACCCCGGTTTCTCTTCCGCTGACACCCCCCCACCAAACTGCAGTGGCCTAGAGCAAGCAAGTATATTATTCTGCCAGTGGTTTTGTGGGTCAGGAATTCCGGAAAGGCTCAACGGGATAGATCATCTCTTTGCTAGGGCATCAGCTTCGTCGCTCACATATCTCACGACACGGAGTCTGTCTCTCCCCCCCAACGTGGTGTCTCGTCCTCCAGAGCTTCTGCATGTGGTGATCTCTGCATAGTCACCCTTCTTTCCTGACAGCCAGCTTCCAAAAGGCAGGGGGTAGAAAGGACCAGGCTAACTATGGACATCCTTGGAACTAGCACCGTGTTACTCCTGCCTTAATCCACTGGTCAGAGGAGTTGAAGGTCAACACAGGTTCAAAGTGGATAGAGAAATAGACTCTTGTTCTTAATGGGGAGGGGGAGGGGCGGCAAAAGGTCAGGTTGTAGGAGACCCTATGAAATGAGAGAGACTGTAGCCAGATGTCAATCAGCCACATGAGTTTTAGAAATTATTTTATGTTTGATTTGAGAACTCTGTGTGTCAGTACGCATGGGTGCTATTTTGTCAGAAACAGCTGTCGGGAGTATCTTAGCTTTGTAAAACATTTCAATCAGGAAGCTCTCCTCCTTCCCCCCCCCCCACCTCAGGAATAATTCAAATAGGTCAAAATTACCTGTTTGTCTGAAGCTTAAAAGATCTCTTTCATAAAACTACCTAAATTGCCTACACAAGAAACTTATTAGCTGAATATATTGGTTTTTACCCTATTGATTTCTTCTATATTATTAATGTTTTACAAAGTCTGTCCCCAGATTGAGAACATTTGAATATTTATCCACGTTTCCTGTGTGTTCTGGTTTTAATGTTGTACAGCAATTCTTTTAATTCTTTTTTTTTTTTTTTTAATTTTTATTTTTGAGAGCGAGAGAGAGTTTGCATGGGGGGGTGGGGAGACACAGACTCTGAAACAGGCTACGGGCCCCTAGCTGTCAACACAGAGCCCAACTTGGGGCTCGATCCCACGGACTGCAAGATCATGACCTGAGCTGAAGTTGGATGCTTAACTGACTGAGCCACCCAGGCGCCCCTTAATGCTGTACAGTAATTCTTTAGTTCATCTGGAATTATCTTGTTAACTATTTAGACGATAATCCATCCCTGGTAATTTGCATTGCAGCCTTTTTTATTTTTTACATTTATTTATTTTTGAGAGACAGAGAGAAAAGGAGTCCAAGTCGGGGAGGGGCAGAGAGAGAAGGAGACACAGAATCTGAAACAGGCTCCAGGGTCTGAGTTGTCAGCACAGAGCCCAGCGCAGGGCTGGAACTCACAAATTTGTGAGATCATGACCTGAGCGGAGGTCCAGGCGGCCCAGGCCGCAGCCTTTATCCTCTGTAATGTTAAGTGTTCCAGAATCTGTTTCTGTTCTCTTCTGTTGATATGTAAATTATTTTCCATACTATGTGTTTAAGTATTGTAACTGTCTCAAGTACCTGGAGATGTGAAAATCACTAAGTGTTTATGCCTACAATATGGGAATAAATGCTACCTTATCCCACACTAAGGACATATGATTTTTAAACTGTTAAAAGCAAGAATTTGTTTAATGTATGATTTAGCCAAGTATTTTAGTGCAAAATTGTGGTTTTCTAAAAAGGAAGAATAAATAAACACCAATACTCACAGTTTTATATTTGTGAACATGAGTTTCAAATATATAATTTGGTTTATGGAGGTCTTCCAGAAGGAAAAAAATTAATGAAAGCATTGACTAAGTGGATTTGCCATTGAAGTTGTTACAAAGGTCAAGTAACTAGATACTGGTAAAGAATTTTTACAACTTATTGAAGAAAGCTGTTTGTGGAATAGTTCTAGAAATATTTAATTTTTGAACCATACCCAATGGTTAATAAAATATTTTAAAATGTATTCTTTAACAAAATGAATCTTTAAATTTCACTAATCTGGTTTGTTTTTGTTTTCCAGATATTGTTTTCTGTTTGCTTTGGGATACCTCACAGTGTGCCAAATTACTAGAGTCTATATCTTTGATTATGGACAATATTCTGCTGATTTTTCAGGGTAAGAGTAAAACTTTGATTCAGTAGCCTGTTTTATCTGCTGTCACATTGGTAGAGGGACAGCGTGTGGCTGCATTTAGTAGTTCTGATGAAACGCTGTCGACAAATATTTTAGTTGAAAAATTGTCTAAGAGTTGAGACGTTCTCCTTTGGTAAAGTGGTCTTTTGTAAGTGCTGTATAAGTCACAGAAATAACCGGTCCTTTTAAATCGACTTACGTAAAATTTCTAAATGTGTAGCAATTGAATTTGTCGTGTGGCATTCTGATCTTGGAGGCATTTTCTAATTTTACAGAAATTTCTTCAATCAGCTGTTAACTGTTGAAAACCAGCCCCCTTCAGCCTGAATCCTTGACTCTCTCTCTCTCTCTCTCTCTGTGATCTCCTGAGCGAACCACTTTCTTACGGTCATTCACCGACTTCTCTGTAAGATCTGGTCACTTCTGCTTCTCAACACTCCTCGGCTGAGCCCGTCCTCTGACTTTTCTAGAGAAGACATTGGAATATGTATTTGAGTTGTATGCATTTTCCTCTTGTGGAATGTTCTACATTCATATGTCTAGCATTCAGCCCAGTAGTGGAAACAACTTCTGGCTTTTTTGTTCCTTCAGAGGGCATGTCGTCCCTCCCTGGTGCTCTTCATCCTGTAACACACAGAGTATCTCTTCCAGCGTAAGCGTAGTCTGGGTCCTTAAGGGCTGTCTTGCTCACCACCTTTATATAAAGGGACCTTTGCTAAGGATGAGCAGAGTAGAAAAAATAAAGAAAGTCATGTCATCTCTGAACAAAAGTTATTCAGCATTAGAAATGGACCAAAGTTGTATGAGCTTAGAGAAAAATTACTGCTATGAAACAAGAGAATTTTAGAAACTGAAATTTTCTTTTTCTCCTTAATGGGATTCAAGTAGATTGTACTTTTTTAAAAAAAATTTTTTTTTAACATTTATTACTGAGATACAGAGAGAGACAGAGCATGAGCATGGGAAGGGCAGAGAGAGGGGAGACACAGAATCTGAAGCAGGCTCCAGGCCCTGAGCTGTGAGCCCAGAGCCCAACGTGGGGCTCGAACCCACAAACTGTGAGATCATGGCCTGAGCTGAAGTTGGATGCTTAACCAACTGAGCCACCCAGCCACCCCAGATTTTACTTTTTTAAAACAGATTTTAAAAAATAGATTTTGATGAAAGGAGATTGCATGCAAAAGAACAAAAAGCCAATACAAACTGATTAAACACACTTTACAAACTAGTTAAATTCACGATCTATTGGGTAGAATAGAGAAATATACCTGGAGTTCAGAAGCAACGAATAGATGCTGACGGTCTAGCTTATAAATAATAGATACTGTTGAATAGAAAGAGCTAACGGACAGAATCAGGAAGTCTGTTGGGGCACTGAAAATCTCTATGAACTTGAAGGTGTAAGTCCAGTCACACGTTGTCATCTGGGCATAATGAAAGGAGGAACTAGTTGTGAATGTTTACAAGAGTCATGGTCATTTAGACAGTTTAATCTTCCTGGGAACAGTTACCCTACTGGTCTTATTCGTCAGCGTATCTGTAGTGTTTAGCACATAGTGACATTAAATAAATACTTTCTCGATCAATAATAATACCTCAGTTAAGAGGAAAGTAAAAAATACAATGAGAAAAATGGGGGAAAATTGCAAACAGTGTAGAAAACCTGAGCAATGTGGGCAAAGCTTTGCTAAGATTAATTCAGAGCTTTAGTGGGCGCCCGGGTGGCTCAGTTGGTTAAGCGTCCTGCTTCAGCTCAGGTCATGATCTCATGGTTTGTGGGTTCAAGCCCCACATCGGGCTCTGTGCTGACAGCATGGAGCCTGAAGCCTGCTTCTGATCTCCTTCTCTGTGTCTCCTTCTCTCTCTGCCCCTCCCCTTGAAAATAAACATTAAAAAAAAAATTCAGAGCTTCAGTGCTTGTGGTACAGTGAAGAATGAATTAAGCATATAGTATGAAATAGAAACAAAAAGAATACTCTTGACTAATTCAGTTTACGCATGTAGATAACAGAAATGTTAACATTAGCCACTAGAAGTTAATACTGTAAAATCATGAATTTTCAAAGGGCCTTCCTGAGTGCTAGGACCCTGCAGCCACGTTCCAGGGACACTAAGCAGGTGACGCCGTGCCCTCTAGTCTCACTTCAACCACAACTGCTCTACTCTAGTTTCTATTTGAGGACTCCACATGACGCTTCACTTAACAAATACTGCTTATGTTTTTAAACTGCCAGATTTATTCTTTTTTTTTTATTTTTTTAAATGTTTTATTTATTTCTGAGAGAGAGAGAGAGAGACAGTGTGAGCAGGGGAGGGTCAGAGAGAGATGGAGACACAGAATCCAAAGCAGGCTCCAGGCTCTGAGCTGTCAGCACAGAGCCCAACGCGGGGCTCGAACCCACGAACCGTGAGATCATGACCTGAGCAGAAGTTGGACACTTAACCGACTGAGCCCCCCAGGTGCCCCATAAGCTGCCAGGTTTAAAAAGCGGTCTAACATAGCTAAATTGAGTTCATCCATGCGGTTCATGTGAGTGCAGATTTGCATGACGCAGGGTTTCCTGGGCCCTCACAGCTGCTCCTTTGGTTGATCTCGTCATCACCTTTCTTATTTCTCTAACCTGATACTCTAAACGTGTTGCTCTCTAGCTGGAGAAAGGCTAACAGCTGTTAAAATGTCATAATTTCAGTGGCTTAACATAATAGATGTTTATTTCTCAGTCACGTTGACAGTCCACAGAAGGAGGAGCCTTTGCTTCACACAGTCGTTTAGGGAAGTTTCTTTCTTAGGGCTTCGCCTCCTTCAGTATCTCTGGAATCCTCTTTTTTTTTTAATTTTTATTTTTGAGAGAGACAGGACAGACAGAGCACAAGTAGGGGAGGAGCAGAGAGAGAGGGAGAGAGAGAATCCGAACAGGCTCCAGGCTCTGAGCTGTCAGCACAGAGCCCGACATGGGGCTCAAACTCACAAACCGTGAGATCATGACCTGAGCCGAAGTCGGAAGCTTAACCGACTGGGCCACGCAGGCGCCCCTGGAATTTTCTTGATTACGTTGATGGAGGGGCTGTTGGAGAGCAAAGGCAGAGCCAGCATCCTGCCGCTGCTGCTCACGCAGACAGGGAAGACTGCCTGTGCGGTCCACAGATGGGAGGGCAGTTTGCAGTAAGCGCAAAATGCATGTTTAAAAATAGCTTTCTATGACGTGGCTTTATTTTGCTGAAATGTCAAATTTCATTTTTAAAAGAATTTTTTTTAATGTTTATTCATTTTTGAGAGAGAGACAGAGCACGGACAGGGGCGGGGCAGAGAGAGAGAGGGAGACACAGAATCCGAAGCAGCTCCAGGCTCTGAGCTGTCAGCACAGAGTGACGCGGGGCTGGAACTCAGAAACCGTGAGACCATGACCTGACCCGCAGTCAGACGCTTAACCAACTGAGCCACCCAGGCGCCCCTAAAATTTCATTTAAATACTTAAATACAATTTAAAAATGTTTAAGTATGTGGAAGAAAAACAACATGGCATTTTAAATATGGTTATAAAACTGATAATAAAACTCCCAGTTTAATGTGTAATTTTTATCCATTAGGAGGAAACATTCGGTCATCATTAGTAAACTGATAAAGATTAGGCAGAGACAAATGAGCTGAAGGAGGCCATCTGGGAGAACGAAGTTGAAGGACTCTCTTTCTTTTTGCATTGGACTCAGGACAGAAAAGAAGCCATCTAGAGGCAGACTTTCCCCTTAATGAATATTTAGCCATTTAGAAGTCTTCATTGTGTTATATAACAGGGGCAGAAAAGATCCTAACTTGATCCTAATTAGGGTAAATATCCACAATGTTGCACATCTGAAGAAGGTAGAGTTGAATGAAGTGACCATCCTTTGTCCCAAGTGCTGCCGTTGGCTTGAAGCTGGCAGCACAGGGAGTGAAACCAGGCTCCTGTGGAGGAAACATGTGGGAGCTCTTCTGTTCGGGACTGTCCTTCTTGCCCGCGGCATGGGAAACCGATATGGCACATGTACGTGAATGTGAGTGCCTGTGTGGTTGTGGTTGGACAGGAGTTCAAGATCGATTCGAAATGTTGATTCAATAAAAGGGACTCGCTTCTTCCTAGAAGTTTCTTTTTGGAGAATGGTTGAAAACTTCTGAAGTCTTGGCTTTCATGGGAGCCTCAGAAAATAGAAGAGAAGTATAAAATAATTAAACAGCTTCCTTTTAGATCAGCAATAACCAGTTAGCAAATATAATAAAGGATCCTAGTTTCCCAAGCAGTAAAAACCATGAGAGTGGCTATATAAGAATACATATAGGAAGAAATGCAGAGGACCTCTGTGTAGAAAACTATAACACTTTACCGTAGGATATAAAAGAACACTAACTGGAGAAATATCTTGTTATTCAGATGGTAAAATTCAATATTGTAAAAATGGCAATTCCTCTTAAGTTAGTCTGTAGGTGTAATGCAGTTCAAGGTGAGGCTTTGAGGGAAATTAGATGAATGGAAAACTTTCTCTAGAAGTGTAAGTGCTTGAGTGTAGCAATTTCAGTGTAAAATACACTCCTGTTTGTAGCGTGAGTAGACAACAGTGAAGCCAGAGGAGAGGAGTAGACCCATGGATCCGAGAAATAAAGGTACAGAATGGACGTGCGATGATAGATCCGTGGGGAAAGCCCTTCTCGATTATGAAGTAAGTGGTACTGAGAAAGGTAAATGCTTCCCTTCTGTGTAGATAAAGAACTTGTAGATGGAAGTAAGAACACACTTTGGCAGGAAGGCAGTGAGTTCTGTTTGGAGTGTGTTCGCTTTTGAAGGGTACCTTGGTGCATCCACCAAACGAGATGTCCAGGACATAATTTTCCATTCAAATTAAGGCTGTTTGAGAGCTAACCACATAGCATCAGATGCTCAGCAAACATTTACTGCTACTTACTCCCATGTGTTTGTTCAGCTGTGATTTACTGAGCACATGCTATACAT